TATATAAATCAACTCGAAGGTTTTTCCATCAAGGTAAAGAAAGTATGGTGTGTAAATTAAAGAAGTCAATATATGGACTTAAACAAGCTTCCGTGCAATGGTATATTAAGTTCAATAATACCATTACCTCTTCCAATTTTGAGAAAATCATTGTTGATTGGTGTATGTATCGAAAGATTAGTGGGAGTAAGTTTATATTTCTAGTTCCGTATGTTGATGACATTTTGCTTGATGCTAATGACTTGGGTTTGTTGCATAAGACTAAAGAATTTCTTTCTAAGAGTTTTGAAATGAAAGATATGAGAGGCATCCTATGTGATTGGAATTTCAATATTCCGTAAAAGATTAGAACGTTTATTAGGATTATCTCAAAAAGCCTATATTGGAAAAATTCTTGAGAAATTTAACATGAGCAAGTGCTCAGCAGGCATAATCCCTATTCAAAAGGGAGATAAATTTAGTCTTATACAATGTCCAAAGAATGATGTGGAATGTAAGGAAATGAAAACAATTCGATATGTTTCTGTTGTGGGCGCTTTAATATACCTACAAACTCGTACTAGACCCAACATCAGCTTTGCAGTAAGGATGTTAGGTAGATATCAAAGTAATCCCGGAATTGATCATTGGAAAGCTGCAAAGAAAGTGTTGAGGTGCCTTCAGGGAACAAAGGATTATATGCTCACTTACAAGAGGTATGATCACTTAGAAAGTGTTTGGCTATTTATTCCTATTAGCGAAGGAGCAATCTCATGAAAAAGTGTTAAACAAGTCTATCATTGCTTTATCCACTATGGAAGCAGAATTTGTAGCTTGTTATGAGGCTACAATTCATGCATTATGGTCGCGAAACTTTATTTCGTGGCTTAGGGTTGTCAACACAAGTAAGCAAGCCGTTGAGAATTTATTGTGATAATTCTACAGCAGTTTTCTTCTCTAAAAATGACAAATACTCTAAAGGTCCAAAACACATGAAATTAAAGTATTTTGTTGTTAAAGAGGAGATTCGAAACAAAGAGTGTATATAGAACATACTAGGACGGATCTCATGGTTGCGGATCCTCTAACTATGGGTTTACAACCAAAGACTTTTAAAGAACATGTGCTTAGGATGGGTCGTGGTTGTATTGATGATTGATGATGATGCTTGATGATGATGTTTTAACACTCTTGAGCTCAATAATGATATGTTTCTGAATTTTATATTTCTTATTCATTATGTTTGTGTATACATGATTGTTTGAATAAGAAATTTGTATGTATTTTCATAACAAGTATGTGGATCGTACGTTATTTATATGCAACTGATGAACCTAACATAATAAGTTCTTAATGTAGTGGTATATGGAAGAGAATATATGACTATACCGTGTATGACTCGTCATAACCCACATTATGTGATTTGTTGTGTTGAGGTACTTATGATGTTAACGGTTTATAAGATTTAATTTTGCTAGTCTTATGTTATTCTATTAAATGTAATGATGAAACATCCGACCAAGTGGGAGAATGTAAGAAATATGGCTCGATGTCATGGCCCATATTTTTTGTATGCCCATATTAAGTTGGTTTAGGGTTTTCTTAATTTAATAGTATGTTAAATCTAAATCGTTAATTTAGTACTTAATGGACGTACAAGATTTAATGTTAACGAGTATATAAACTAGTTCTCTCTCTACCCTAAAGGTGTGTGTAGATAAAATATAAAAATACGTAACGTATGTATTTGGCTATCCATCAAGCCACATGTTACATAAAAGAGGGTTAAGGGAGAGAAACTAATTTATAAGGCTTGTGATTGTTGAAAGCTCTCTCTACATCATGTTGAATTCCGCTCAAGGTAAGTAATTTATTCGTTTCATCTATGTGATTATTATTTTATTCAAGATCCTGAATAGGCATGAATGATTTATGTCTTGATCATTACATGGTATGATTTATGTCTTGATCATTGCATGGTATGATTTATGTTTTGATCTTTATGAATGAAGTTTACAATGCTAGCTTGGGGAAAGTTTCAAAATATTCTAATTGGCCACTTAATTTTCAAATTTTGCATAATAATTATCGATTTGTACATAAAAAATCACACATTTTCTTTCCAACTTTAAAAAAAAAAAAAAAACTCATTTTCAAGTTTTCCTTTTGTTGTTTTAATGATGGATTTTGCGTTTAAAATTTATAGTTAAAGCCTCTTGACGAGGAATAAATTATGAGTGAATATTTTAGGTAATAAAAAATTCAATACTTATGTTTTAATCGAATCTTCTAATTAAGAGTCTCTATTTTTATTTTTTCAATTTGAGTGCATGTATTTTTTTATTTTTTATTTTTTAAAGCATCTTCATTTCATATTAAAAATAACAATAATTATATTTGGGACGAGAGCGATAAAATTTAACCCCGTTAATTAAGTATAACTACAAAATTTGAATCTTTGACATCAATCGAAAATTCATTTGAGACTAGCTCGCTATTATCTGATCCAACAGCTTTGTTGATTGATTATGTGTATTTTCATTTTTTTTTCAATTTAGTATCTTTATTATTAAAATATCAATGATTTATTTAGTAAATGTACATGTGTCATTTTTACCGTGGGATCCATTATTCATTAAAAAAGAAATAGAAAATGAGGATGTAAACTGCGAATTTCTTGCTCCTTTTTTCTTTTTATTAATTATTCAGAAACCCAAAAAAAGTGACGCAAAAATAACAATAAAAATGAGAAAACGTGTAACATCATGTTTTAGGAAGTAATTCTCTCCTTTTTATTGTATTTTTTGGGTTTAAGATTTTTAAATTTTCTTATAAAACACGGTATGCAAAAAATAACAATTAAAAGTAGAAGTATTTCTTTTATTTCTTGAACTATTTTTTTTTCCCCAATTATATGAATAATGTATCCCACAACAAAGAAAGATGGCATGTGTCCATTTATTAGACATGTCATCAATAATTTAATAAGGAAGATAATTAATTTAATAACAAATACAAACCCTCAAATTAATAGAAAAATAAAAGTAGAATTGAAAAAAATAAATAAAATAAGTGGTACAAACAATCAAATATAAAAATAAAAATAGAATATAAAAAACAAATGAAAATATACATAAACTCACCCGAATAGAAAAATAAAATTAATGACACTCAATCTGAAAATTTATCTAGATATAGGCAATTAAATTTTAATTAATCTTGAATCATAACTAGCTATGTGTCATATCAGTGTTGGATAGTAATATAAAATTATTCCTAAAGTCTCATCTAAGCTTATAAATTTTTAGATTGATAGATTGAGATGATTTTTTAATATGACATTAGAATTATAATGATCAAACGATCATGAGTTCGAACATCACTAATCTTATATATTTTTTTCTTTTAATTAAAATTAAATAAATTAAGTATTTGAATCTCACCATCACTATTTTTTTAATATTAAATAATTAGGCGTAAGTTAGTGGTAAGCCACTCTTCTCTATTTCTTAAATTTCTTATAATAGTTTAAAATTTTTAGTTGAAATGGGTATTTAACAGTCATCATATCACACATGAAGTTCTTTTGTTGAAAAATTTTAATTGCATTCATCAAACTCTTTTTTTTTTTTTTAAAGATTATAAACTTGTTAGTTTCTTTAAAACAAATGACAACTGATAATTGAGGTCAAAATATTGTTTCTAGCAGCCACACAGAAGGATAGGGTTTGAGGTCTTAAAGATAAACTCTAGCGTACATATTAAAAGCCCGCCAGTATATCAAATTGAGTTCTGCATTATTGGAAATTAATTCAAATCTGCATATTAATGTTGAAATTTTTAAAAAATATTTTAAATTTTTTTTCTAATCTTTTGGAAATGGTACTGTTTGTACCTTCACTCAAGACAGCTGAATATTATTCTTTTGGAAAAAGGTCTACAATAGGTTTCTTTTTTAAAAAAATTATTGTGTTATGTATTAATCTTGGAAATTAAATCATATTATTTTTTTTATCTAATCTTTTGGAAATAGTACCGTTTTTGTACTATGACGTTTCGTGCTGTCCACTTCTTGTGTTTCTTTTAATTAAATTGATGGCTGATCTAAGTTAGGACAGCTGTAGTTGATGATGATAATGTTAACTGATGGTGGAATAGAGACCAATTATTAATTAACAAAACATTACTTAAGTTGGAGTAGACAGTTCCTTCTGCAAGGAATTGCATCTGCTAAAAACATTCAAAACTTTTGGAATTTGGAAATCAAACAGGAAAATATTTGATTTCAATGTCTTTAGTTTGTATCCCAAGAAATTAACTTGCTGTTGTTTTCTCTTCCATGATCATGTCACTTTAATAATAAATACAGAAAAAAGGAGGGAAAAAAAGTGCTTATCATGAACTTTCTTGACAGCGAAACTTGCACAAGACCCCAGCGAAATGGATACTTGGAAAAAAATTATACCATGCATATCAATCTACATTACAATTGAATTAGGGATCTCTAAGATTAGACTGATTCTCCTCTCAATTAATTAATTCAATTCTCTCTTATTTATTGAATTTCATAATTAAATTTGAGTTCTCTGTGTGAAGGTTTAAATTTTATAATTAATAATTATTTTTTTAATAATTAAAATTAGATTCTATATAAAAGATTTAAACATAAATTTGATGTGATGGATGGTCATTTTTTAATTTTAAATAAGTTGAAGCAGACAGTTTCTTAAATTGTATAGATCCTTTGACAACTTGTAATTTTGAAAAATTTTATAATACATAATAGATAAGTAGTAACTAAGTACAGTTAATAAGTTTAAGTTATTTCATTTTTATATGCATAAATTTAAAAATAATGATATAGATTATTTTTTTAAAAAAATAATTTGTAAAAGAAAAAAAAGGAATTAAATTGAATTTGTTTCCACGATATGCTTTTCCTCCGTCATTGGTCACCACTTAAACATTAGCGTGCAAAACGATAAGGAAGCATAGAATAGCCAGCTGTTAAAGAAAAAGGAATGAGGAAAGAAGAAGTTTTAACTGAAGTAGAAGCTGTGCTAACCATGTACGGCGATGATTGTGTGATTCTTGATTCTTTCCCTCCTCAACTTCACCTCCACATCAAGCCCAGAACTGTCGATGTCTCCTCTCAACAGGCCCCCCACTCTCTCTCCTCTCTTTTTACTTTTGGGTCTGATTATTTCTTGGTTTTGAATCACAGAATTCGAGGAAAGAAGTGTATGGGAATTAAATATGATTCTTTTTGTTTATTAATAGCTTAAATTTCTCTACTTTATTGAGAAAAAGAGTAAAAGTGTATGGGAGATTGATAACTTTTTTGTATTTCTTTGACACTGCGAAGAGGCATAGATGATTGTTCTATATGACTTCATAGTTTTTTTTTCTGCAGTTTGTGAAAGCAGTGATTGGGATACGAGCAGGTCCTCAGGTATTTTACAATATCAACAAGATATCAATTTGTATTTTTTTTGCTGCTTAATTGGCGAAAATTATTAGGGTTGGATGCTCATTGTGTGCTGTTGTTAGTTTCTGAAATCACGAATGCTGGTGCAATTTTATTTGCTTAGATCCTAACTTTTGTCTACATTCCATGGTAGTATCCAAGTGAACCGCTGCAGATTGATCTCATAGAATCCAAGGGTCTTGATGGAGAAAAGAAAAAGCAATTGATAACTAGTATATAAGACAAAGCATGTGAACTCTCCTCTTGTTTGATGCTTGTCGCGCTTTGCAAGGTAATACTGCATTTTTCATGTAGCAAGAATTTTTTCTGCATTGATATTGTTATTCCATATTGTGTTACTGAACTGAGAAAACCATATCAGTTGGTTCATATTTGATAAACAATAGACAATCCTCACCTCAATTTGATTTTTTCTTTTTTTCTAGTTGTCATATATTTGAAGGTAGTCTTCTTCAAGTAATTGGTTGTTTTTGCAAAGTTAATGCAAGTGTTGTAAATTTTGGCTTATGCCAGTTAGCATTAAGATCATGCTTTGATGCATCTTAACTCTTTGTGTTTAATTTGCTTGTGTCAGTAGAGGAGTTGGTATCACAATCTCTGTTATTTTTAGGATATGAGCATACTTTTGAATTGTCTGCTAGTGCTATGATAGATTGTTATTTGCATCCATTCTGCTTCATATGGTTTGGATTGATTTCCAGATATGCCCAGATGTGTCCAGGACAATTGTGTTATTGCATTCAGGCCTCACTTTCTAGGAATACAATTTTGTAGATGATTAGTTGCTAACAAATTTTAATTATTGCAGTTTCAATGGGCATGATATGCTGGCACCTTTCAGTGCTGCTGGTCTTTGGTGCACAGCCTTAGGTAAATGAAACAAAATACAAATCCGGTGACAGAGAATGACTGCGAAAATTACTTCCCTTTCTGGGTTTATAACTAAGTTGTTGATGAAAGAGTTGAAATTGGAGATGCCACAATAGATGAAATGAATTTGGCAAAGAAGATGATTACAGTGGCACTGTGGTGCATAGGATGAAGCCTAGTAATCGTCCTCCAATGAACAAAGTTGTGGAGATGCTCGAAGGAGACATTGAAAGCCCACAATTGCCTCCCAAACCTGTTCCATTTCCAGACGAAACTCCTACAAATTACACTTACTCTACAGAGGAAACACAGTCCTCTTCTATGCTATTTGGCTCAAGTGAATCCATTAGTTCACTTCTAAACTCTGTTTGAATTATTAATTTGTATAGGTTAATTTTACATGAATTCCAAATATTACACATGTACATATTTTGAGAATAGTGAGATATCTTGACAGATAGTTTTTTCACAAATTTCTGATTGTTCTTTCTTCTGAGTTTGAGTAATTTTGTTCTGTATACCAGTGTTGAGGTTACTTTCACTGCAGAGCTTAGCCTATAACTATGAAGTTGACTTCATCTGAGAAAGGGCATGTGGTTCTCCATGATGCCCATCAAACTTGGTGAAATTATACACGCGTTAAAAAAAACCAATTTATTTTATAGAAAAAATCCACAATTTTTTCAAAATTGAAAAATATTTTGTTTTGTTATAGAATCAAAGTATTCTCAATACTGAAAATTATTCCAAGGATAGCCATAAAAGTAGTAAGAATACATCAAAATAAAATTATGCCAAAACCATAACTAAAAATAATAAAGATTCTTCATTTGGATGATCTTCAAACAATATCTTCAAATTTGCTTAAGAAATTAACTTGAACCTACTCCCGATTCGAGTGGTAGCCAAATCTAGGAAGATTACTTCGACTTAGTGGTGGATTATAGATCATCAAATTTTGAGATGAACTCTGTCAAATTACTATATTATTAGATCGATGCTCAAACATTAAACACCTTCATCACAATAATATGATAACATATTAAAATACCTATTCTAGTAACTCCGTGAATGATGTACTAGAATCTTGTAATATAGACATCCGCATATATAATAAGAAGAAAAAAAATTATTCGATCATTTTTTTCAAGACATAATTTTTCAAATCGAAATTAGTAGTGAAATAAAAAAGAAATAAAGGAAGGTGAAGGTATACCTTTTTCTTTGAAGAAATATAATTTGTAGTTGTACTATTAAGGATATTACAATCTTCAATTTGACCCTATAAATAATATACAATTTTTCAAAGCATGGTAGTTTGAACATACAATTTATTAATGAATAAATGATCAAATTATTTATAAAGTAAACAAGATAACAATTCAAGCTTACCTCAAAGTTCGCAATGGTTACTTTCGGTTGCTAGAAGAGAGCACCAACTTGTGCTTGCGATTGCATTTGAGACACATTTTTCTTTCTTGATGATTTTTTATTTTTTTTCTCATATCACGGTTTACACCAAATGTTCTTTTTACCTTTTGGCTATCTAGTTAGAGGATCTAATAACAAATAGTTATTTGCGGTAGTATCATAATTAAGACCATTTTCATCTTGATCATTATTGTCCCCCTCGACTAAACAACTCGGTACCTTGAAAACTCGAAGCTCAATATTTTTTAAATCATGATGAGCCATCTTTGACATATTTTCATCATCAGCAAGCAATACTCATCACAAGCAAAAGATCTTCTCATTAGCGAATTCAATCGCAATATAGTAGGTGAAGAAAATTTATTATCCTTTTTATTAGCATAATTCTCAAAGCCAATCCCCGTTTTGCAAACTTAGTCCACCTTTTAAAAATATACTCGTGAAGGGATAAATGTTGCATCCATGTCCACATGCAAAACTCTTAAAGCATGGCAACATAACAAACCCGCATTCTCAAACTTGTGATAACTACAAGAAATGAAAGAATTTTGTAAATCAAATTGCATAACATCCCCATCTTGCATGGTAAAAATGCGACGACTTCCATCAATGGTATTATTAATAACCTTTTGAGACATTCCTAAGAGAAATTCACTTTGAAATTTAAAAAACATGGCTGAAGTATAAACTTCGGATGCATGCTTTAAGATTCCGCAATTCGATATCGAGGTTTAAGTCCGCCTCTACTCTTGAAATCATTCCGTAGTTCAAGATCTCGCATTTCTCGTGCTTTTTATTCATACCGACTAATGAATTCAATCAATGTCATTGTTTTAGTACTCATTTGATTGAAAACAAAATTGGTGCTTTCACTTCTTTGAGTTGACTTAGAACCAAGCAGAAAAATAACCATGAGTAAATGCAAGGGACCACTTCTCTCTCAACCCATACAAAGTATTAAGCCATTTATTTTCTTGCCGATCAACCTTCTCAATCATCTCCTCGCCATAACACTTCAAATTCAAATGGCAAGTTCACTTTCCACATCAATTTGTTAAAATATTTATCCTTAAACTCTTGAATCCCCATCAAATGTGAAATATTTTTCATTGCATTTCTCTCAAAATGCCATTCACATAAACGATGACGAGTAGATTTAAAAACCTCTTTAACACCTTTAGCTATTGAAGGAGCTTGATCAGTAAAAATAGTTTTTGGTTCCTTACCTCCCATTGACGCCAAAAATGTTTCAAACAACCAAATAAAAGAATGTTGAGTTTCATCGAAAAAAATGCACATCCAAAAAAAGCATTATTCCAGTGATTATTGACACCTACAAATGGTGCACAAATCATATTATATTTATTTGTGTGATATGTGGTGTCAAAAATCAACACATCTCCATAAATTTCATAATGCATTCTAGACATTCCATCCCTCCAAAATAAATTAATTAGTCGACCATCATCATCTAATTGGATAGCATAAAAAAAACTAGGACCTTTGGCTTGCATTCTTTTAAAATGGTTCAAGACAGATTGAGCATCCCCTCCACTAAACAAACTTCTTCTACGCTCTTGTATAAAATTATGACAATCTTGTTCTGTGAAGCCTACATTTTGAGCACCACCACTCTCATTCACCATATACCCAAAAGCTTTTTTAGCTTTTATACCAAGCATCTACCATGGAACTAAGAATACTTTTGCTTGACTCTCGTTATCTTTCTAGCCGAAGATATCAAGTGTTTATGTGATTCCTCAACCATTTGATTATTATGTTCTTCATCAAATAAAGTTACTTCCCATGTCTCATTAGTCACTCTAAAAATGATTCTAGCTTTACATCCACATCTATATTCTAATCTTTCTCTCTTTCTTTCCTCATCAAGGCCAATAACTCTAGATTTCCCTTCACATGAACAATTTAGTTCTTGACGAATCAATTCTCCGTTTTTATTATAAGATTTTTTCCCTTCCTTACACCAAAACCCTTACTAAGAGCATACAAATTGTATCTATTATATGCTTCATGTTTTGAATAAACAAAACATTCCAACATTAAACACAAAGTCTCCCTTCGCATGATATTTAGCGAGATGATGTAACACCTTCATTCTCATCTAAATAATAAAAACATATTTACAAATTTATCATTTATGTGTTTGATATTAATTATAATATGTTAAGCAATACAAATATATAGTGAAAAATATAAATTTACTTGTTTGAAGAGCCATATCCTTTACAACCAAAACCACAAACTTATTGTAAAGATCTTGTTTTTGCTGCAATGCCTTCCTATCAAGCTATTTTGTAAGACACTTTCCTGAAAAGGACAAAATTCAACCATGTTTTTGCCGTCTATATAGAATAGAAAGCGATTCAAAAATAAACCTAACAGTAATGAAACCTTGGCTTCAAAGAGGATGTAAATACTATAAGGTCAATTCTTCATCGCTACATATCTTATTTCATACTCATTTTAATGCTTTCCCTTTCAAGTCTAAGTATGCAAATGGTCTCCAACTTGAAATTTGTAAAGCTTGAAGGGGGTTCAGGCTTTTACAGCATTAGAATTGGTAGCAGCACGTAACTTCTCATAAAGAGCTGCCTTTTTTTTCCTCCTGGAAGACATTCTAATTGGTTTCTGCCTCCTATCTTAACTAGCTACCTTTCCCTTGCTTATTTTTTCACCGTAAGCTTTCAGGGATTTTATAACAAGAAGATGATCTATCCAACTCTATCATTGTTTGTTCGTTTCCTGCATGGATGCTCCCGTTTCCCCAAATAAATCATAATTCCTTTGTAAATTTACAATATTAACCATCTTTTTTCCTGATTTTTTATATTTCAAAAATAATTTCAAAATCCTAATTCCTAGTATATATACATTCCTTGTTTGTCTTTTTTCACTTACAACGACCTCTTTGAAAAAAAAGATATGAACGATATTGAACCATAATGCCCACTGGCCAAGCATATCTTTTATTTGTTCTTCCCATGTGCTTCTACAACACACCACGTATTAGAGTCATTTGATTATAATGAAACCTTCAGATCAAACTTGCACTAACGAGGGGCTTAAACAAATTAGCAATGAGTAGTGAGCCATAAAAAAATAGGCTTAATTTTGTCTTCACTGTTATTGATCCCATTAAGACAAAGCAACGAATACAGTAAAACAAAGTAAACAAATGCCTCAAAACTACATTGCAGACTCAAAAATTCACCAAATTAAAAATAGAAAGTAATCAAATTCCACTTCAAGAATCAAACCCGAGAACAATACAGTGAAAAAAAGTTAAAAAAAAAATCATCAATCTCCACAAATAAAGTTACAACCGATGGAAAAGAGAAAAAAGAAAAAAGAAAAAGGACGCATACCTTCAAATGCAGTGATAGACTACAAAAGATGATTTTTTCCCAATAGAATTCACACTAGTACAACTGGCTGCATCAAAATCCTTAAGACAAAAACCCTAATTCCCTTGCTTTCCTTCTAAATTGCTCATAGGGTTTTCGCAAGAGAGAAAACCTGGCTCTCAATGTTTTGCAGTAGCTGCAAAACATTAAACACGTTTGTTTCTTTGTTTTGTTTTTTTAGGTAGTCCTTGTCATCGTTTTTAAATCCACATGTACCGAATTTTTTTTATGACATGGCAGCTTAAGTTTAAAAAGGATTGAGTACTTTATCAGCTACCACTAGTTACAACTTGCGTATTAAAAAATTTCTTTGTAATCTTTATTGGGCGAGTAGCTCAAATTCTGGCTTATATTAATTAAAATTTATTAGTGGAGATTGACTAGGTCAATGGTGATTACATCTAGCTTAATTATAATTATCTTCAATTAAAAAACATTTAAATTATTTTACACGTTTACTTACTGCATGATTAGGTGTTTATATTATTTTCAAATTGATTTACATTAGAAGAAGGTGAGAAAATAAAAATTACTATCTAGAAAAAACAAAACTAATGAAATATTCAAATGACAAATATTTATGGCTCTACTTCAACTGAAATGCAGAAAATAAATGTAAATGTTGGAGAGAGATAGATTGGTTTTTATATAATAATGATAGCAGGAATATAATTAGCTTAATGTGTGCACAATATACATGCATCCAACTTAACTATTTCAATTAAAT